ACTCGACTTTTTCGTTATGCAAAGAAGTCATTGGAGTAGATATTTTTTTCCACTTGCTTCCCACTCCAGTGCAAGTCTAGTTTTCTATTATTGAAATGACTCTGGATGGATAGATTCTCATATTGTGAGCATGTAAAATATTGTGCCATCTTATATCCGCACAAACTGATAGCAGTTTTTATACATTTATGCATGCTTGAATCTACCTTTCAGCATTTATTTTTTGACCTTGTCTACAGGATTATACTCTCTTAATGTGGGTCTGGTCACTTTCAAGTTCGATGTCGAAGTTGTTGGTCCTCCAATGCTCAATACAGTCTCCGTTCCTGCTCCCCCATCGGTTCTCATAGTTTTGGACAAGAGCCCAGTCACTATCGACTGTGAGTTTTCTGGGATAGATCTTAACTTGGTAAGTCTAAAATAACCTACTTTTGGCCTTAACATTTAAAAGCATTTGGAACTGTTTCGTTTTCTTGGAACTCATTATTGTTTTTATCACTATTTTGTCGCTCTTCTCTTTAGTTGGCTGTATTACACTCTCTTCGAATCTTAGGCTATCACAATTGCGTCTGCTGTTTTTGTTGCTAGCTGACGGCTTTGATTTTGTCACCTTAGGAAGTGGTGCCATCTCTTTTACTCAACTTGGTTATATTGTCAGATAGCTAGGTAAACGCATCTTATACGGAGTGCTCTGTTGTAGAATCCTTATTAATTTCCAGCGTCGGACCATAGACTTTGTACATTTCGCCGACATCGTCAGTGAGCCTCGCCACTCCTTACACTACAACTCGTCAAAGTGACAACTGGAGTCCATCCTTTGACCAACTGCCTGCCGAACAGTTTTGCTTGACATATTTATCCAATTTGGCCATTTTAGTTTGAAACCTACTTCATCTATGTCCTAGCAGTTTATATGTTGCTCTGTAATATCCGTTTCTTATCTTTTTGATTCAGTTATATTTCTCGATCACTGCCACTATATATGGGCTATTTGAGGTGTTGTTCCAATGGTCTGCCTCAAAGTTCGATAACATGTATTCTCTAGCCTCACTGTGCAGGCCCCCAAGGCATTTCTTCTTAAACTGGATAGAAGACCAACTTAACACTCCAGTCCCCCTTGTTACCATTCGGTATGTGCACTGGGTAAATTTCGTGATCAAGCCTTTACTTTACGGACTGTGCTTCAACTATTTTTGGCCTCCGCCAAACCTCTTACACTTCTATCAATAGCCTATGGCTTTCCTACCCCCTAGTGTGTGCTAATTCCAAAATATTGTACTTTTACTTGTAGCAATGACGAGTAACTGGGTTTCGATGACCCTCCTGAGATAAAATTATTGTTGGGACTTTTATTTTGTATGAAAGTATAAGAAGAGGAGATTCGAGGTTCGATCTCACCAGAAGAGGACGGCTGAATCCTGTTGAAGCCGTTTGGCTTTTATACGACGTTGAAGTTGATGCAGTCCACGAGACCTCATTCTTTTCAGGTGAAAACGGGCTGAGCTTTCGTCCATCATATGATGGACATCATCAGAGCTGGAATTAATTCTTGTAAAATTCTCAAGTTAACACTAAGACAACAATACTATCCGGCTCTGTCTCACCTCTTATATAGTCTCATTTAAGCAAATGAGAATTTTTAAAAAAAAGATCGATATAGAATGGTTTTATTAATTATATTTATTCTGGTCACCTTTTGGATGGTGGTTAAACACCTCTACTTTAAATCTATCAATCAAACATAAGTACTTCCTACTTAACTTTCTACCACCGTGCTTTACATTCAACGTATTTCATAATCTATTAATTTCAGTAGTCTCTATTATCTTTCTTTTAACCGCAGACGTACCATAATAAGCAAGCCTACTGGTTTGAGACCATTTTATCTCATGTCCAGTTTCTACCATGTTTTCGGCTACTTCTGACCGTTGAATTCAGCTTCCTTTACAAGCATTTTTGTTTTCCTTCAATATTTGTCGAATAGGTCGACATGTCTCACCAAAATAACATCTATCGCATGAGCAAACAATCTTGTAG